TCCTCCCCCTTCACTCAGCTGCCCCCCCCCTCCTCCTCCTTCCTGTGAAGCTTGCAAACCCTTGCTCACTGCAAATGGTTGCTGACGACACAGGCATCCGGTCACACTCCACCTGAATGAACACACCATTATCTCACCTTATCATGGCCGGGGTTACCACAGGGCGTGCGTGTCACAGATGCATTCGAACAACAATAGTGCTCTGGTAGAGGTGTGTGCCTGCAGCACTGATAATAGAAAGTTAGATTTTATTGGTATTTATCCACTTCCTCTATCTATTCCTCATATATTGAGTTTGATGCCCATTGTATGTGGATTCACATTAAATTCAAACAAGTTAAAAACAACTATCTGGGGTTTCATATTACTACATGTAACCATGAATATGAAGACAAACATGATTTGTTTTTGTTTTTGTTTTATGCAGATGTTTATGCAGAATTTCTGCCCCATGTAAATAAATACATTATTCAGTGAAGAAATAAAATATGTTAACTTTGCCAGATTCCGGTCTGCATAGAGCAATTAACCGTTTTAGGAACAAAACAAGGTTTAAAAAAGGCCTTCCTCTGCATCAACTCGTGGAATGATGCCCACACGTCATAAATACATATAGTCATCTTTTCCACCTATAAGATCACTGAGCCAAGATCTCTCTGTGAAATATGGAGAGCAGTTATTACTTCCATTCTCTGAGAGCAATTTCCCTGATCCTACAATTTGCAAACTTCCTGCAGCACATTTTAATTATAGGTGTTGTACTTATGTGTAGCTAGAGAGGCTCCTCATGCAAGACCTAACTCATGTTTCAGAGCAAAGGGAAAATCCCACAAAGCTTTTACTGTGAATGTATGACCAGAGCAGCGAATACCTGTGTGTTCCAGGGTGTTCAGCAGGTTTATGTCATTGTTTTAGTGGTCTTATACTTAAGATGAGTGACTCAAGCGAGGAACCATACTCTAAGTTTATGTATGCTAATGTAGTGAGATAGGAAGAAGTGTAAAAGAACACTGCTATTCAACATTGATATAGACTACAGGGCTCTACAAAGCCAAAATGTGTTTTCCATATAAAACTAGTATGCCATAGATAGTATAATTTAGGGATCTAAAACAGCATGTCAATTTTGCACAAACTACAAAAGAGAGGTAAAAAGCAAACTGCAAAGACACTCCTCCAATTAGCTTTAACTAGCTGGACTGGAAGTGAAAATACAACTAGCCTTAGCTAAAGCTAATTCAATGACCTTTTCTAATAATGTTTCCTATAGTTGTAAAATGAATAATGCTCCAACATCTTAGTAATTCAGTATTCTATACACATACGTAAGGCAGTAGCTGTGATCAAAGTAGAGAAAAAAAGTAGCAGATAAATGAGCTGTGTTGGAAGCTAACTCGTCAAGCTAAGCTAACTCTAACTAGCTTAAATGCCTCCGAGATTTTCCAAACAGGCTTCGTAGTGGCCTACAGTATCTGATATCATACTAATATTATCATCCTTAGTGTTTACAACTTATATACACACTTTGGATAAGTAGCCTTCAAACTTCAGACCATTTTTTCTCAACTTTCTAAACAGTTTCTGTCTTCCTTTTTAAGTTTACACCTCAGATAACAGAACTTGTTGCCTCTCAGTTCGTTTTTTTTTCAATAATAGAAACTACCGTATTGTCCCTTCAGTTACTGTATTTCCCTTTTTCATAAGCAGCCACACAACCATGTCAACATTCTGTGTGTGTGCGCGCACAGGCTAAAAACTGAGTTCTGTATGTTCTGTTAACAATTTCTCTTGACAGTTCCACTTTTGTACAAGCCTCCATCTTCCCATCTGTCATTAATACTTATTGCAATACACACGTTTGCAGCACAAAGAGAAGACACACTGACACGCACGGAGCAAGGAGGAACCAGCGTTTTGTGAAAAGTTCCCACATTACATTCAGGCCAATCCAGCGTGCTGCCCAGCAAAAATACACCATACAACAAGTCAGGAACAGTGGAATTTCAGAACGAGTAAAGGAATGCTGCGTTGGGATGAGGGAAGTCATAGGTCTGGTTGGGCCAGTCGATTAAATGCACGAACAGAAAGGCAGATATGGGTGTGAGGGAAAGCTTAGGGATTCTACCATGGTTGTATAAACACAGGAATATACAGGGTAAATTCGAGGCAGCCCCAGCAAATCTTTTTTCAATCTCTTTGAAATGCGTCTGCAATAATTGGCAACATTTCTTCTTAAAAATGTCAGACAGCCCTTAGAGAGAAAACTCATGCAATTGCCTCCAGTGCATTTCGTGACCATCCAACAGCAGGACATCGGATAATCCGAGTACACTTGCTTGAGCAGCTTATACTGCTAAATTCTCCTTTTTCCATGCCTTAACTTATATCAATATCATAAACTATATGGCCAAAAGTAACTTTCTAAAATACTTTGGCCCTTAGCTTCACTTGAAAGAATAGTTATAGTCTATATTTTCAGAAAATACTATCCATTTTCTTGCTGTAAATTAGACTCCACTTCAGTTTTAGTGTGAGTGAAACAAACGAGATACAACATGTTAGTTAGTGTGCGTTAGGGTTGCTGCTATGCATATTTTTTTAACCTGTAGTCAGGCTAGCTGTTTCCGACTGTTCCCAGTCTTTATGCTAAGCTAAGCTAACCGTCTCCATGGCCTCCAACGGACAGACATGAGAGTGGCGTCGATCTTCTCATCTAACTCTCGCCAAGAATCTGAGGCGTCTACAAGCTGCGGAGCAGTTCATCTAAAGAGCGATGTGCTCACATTTCATTTTAATGGTTCACGATTTGGAGCCAAACCCCTGCAGCCAAGTCCCAAAAATCTGGTGGAAAGCCTGAAATCAGTGGCTGCAGCATATTTACATATATGAGTGTAATGTTTGGGTGTCTTCATACTTTTCCCCATTTAATTTATTCATTAAATGTAATTATCCTCTATTTATTTATCTTTTTAAACATCTCTTTATCATCTTTTCTGAAAAGGGAAACAAGAAGTAATAGAAAAACAAACAAAAACAAAGATGAAATATAGGATAATACAGGAAGAAATAAATAAATAAAAGAAATTAGAGATTTGATTTTTTATAAATAACTAAATAAACAAACAAATAAATAAATAATAGTAAGCACAGCTCTGATACCAGTCATATCAGTTCCTTGTTTGCTCATTGATTCGAATGTCATTATGCTCCAGTAAGTTGTAAAATACATTCAAAATTTAAAAAAATGTTATTAAGTTTGGTTGTTTTTGTCAGATAGCGTCTCTTTTTCTAGAGCCAAGTAAAAACTGTAAAGATCCTTTACAGTCTATGATCACCAACAAAAAGGTCAAACCCCAAATACCAGGACCATCATCTCAAGCGTCTTCCCACGCACGGCGGCATCAGGGGACCGACACTTTGGAGTCCCACCTTACTCCGTCATGTCACCAACACACACACACAGGCACCTTCTGTTCGTCCCACCCCACGGCGACTCTAAAGCGTCAGCTCTTCAACGCACGACACTTGACATCACGGGGCTCCCTCCTCAAACCACACCGCACACCTCTGCGCCCACTGCTTGCGCTCAAGAGCTGCTCTTCTTACACTATAGCTGCAGCTCAAGCCACCCCCTCCCCAAACCTTACTACGGGGTTGACTGATCCACACTTGGTGAGAGCCCAAAGGGGGATCCACCCCTCAAATCCAATTCACACACGTCATATAAGTCAAATCTCAGGAGCTGCAACGTCGGCAATCAAAGGAGACTGGCGTAGGAAATAGTGTTAGTACCCAAATCTGACAGCAACAACAAAAAAGCCTCTAGACAGTTTGTTAGATTTATTAACATTCAAGTCTCCGTCAGTTGTCTGATTGTGTGAAATAATGGGAAGAACGTGTTTTTTTCTTTCTTAGAATGGATTTAGAGAATTATTTTTAAAAGGGGGAAAACTATCTTCTTATGAAGGGGCATTTCGTAGAATATTTAACAATAGTTAACTACTGTGGGTCAGTGGTAGAGCAGGGTCTTCAATCAATCAGAGGATCGGTTGTTCGATCCCCGTGTCCTTGGGAAACCCCAAATTGCTCCCGTAGCTGTGTGCCTACGGTGTGTGAATGTGTGTGAATGTTAGTTACTCCTGATGGGCAAGTGGCACCTTGCATGGTAGCCCCTGTCATCAGTGAATGAATGGGTGAATGGTGACATGTAATGTTAAAGTGTTTTGAGTGTTCGGAAGAGTAGAAAAGTGCTATAATGTTCATTCAGCTCACACTTTATATCTGAATGTCCTAGTGCAGGTTACTACATAATGATGAAGTGCATACCATAGGGCAGTGGGGATGTTTCTCTTCAGCCAAACTCATAGGAATTTAAAATGACTGCTGTCAATGTGACTGGACATTAGTGAGAACAATAGCCATGAAAACATGTGTTCTTAATTTAAATACAGTGTATTACAAAGGAGGGATATTCCCTTTTATCCTCTTCTTTTGTGATAAGTCACAGCGACCTCTGCTGGACAGAAGCGAGTTGTGCATTCAATCGTTTAAGCGTCTTCAGTGCAAAAAACAACAACTCAGGATTTGAGAGGTAATTTTTGTGACAAACTATTTTATTATTTCTTTTATGGCATAATATACAAGGATATTTTTCATAACATACTATATTGTTTTTTATGGAATACTATTCTATATTTTTTCAGGCGTTACTATACAATTAAATGTTTTCATGACATTATTTATAATATTTTAATGGCACATTATACTAAGACATTTATTAAAACATACTAGATTATTTTTATGGCATGCTACACTATATTTTTATGGAATTTCTATGACACACACACTAGATTACAAAGTTTTATGACATATTATATTAGTTTTTATGACATACAATGTAATGACATTTTTATGGCATTAGTTGGACTGTGTACTGTTGTCAGTTTCCATATATTCTTTGTAAAAAAAAAAAAAGAATAAAATCTCTCTCCAACATCAGAAATAGGAGATTACGAGGTGACCTGGAACGCAACAGGACAAACTGGGACAGGGTCCGGAAGGTGATATTAGGAATCCCGGAAGCGAGTTCTTATTATTGGTCAAACTCTGTGGATGTATATTTAACGATGGATCCACAGCCTCCACAAAAGCCATGGGAAAGGCGGATTCCGGGGGCAATGAGTGTGCCTATAAATTACAGGTACACGGGCTGTAATAGCCGCGTTAGCTAGCTCGGTATCGTAGGACAACGTTTGTGTTTACTGACTGTAGCTGGTTCGATGTTGTTGCTGCGTTAGCTAGCTTACGCTAATGTAGCTGCACAAGCCTGGCGAAATCCCCCAAACAATGGTGCTATAAACCATTGGCCTATCAAAAAGTTTCCATTCGTCAGAGTATTTTACCGACGATAGCCATTTAAACAAAGTACCAGCTATACTTCTAGCTAACCAGCTAACGTTAGCTAGGCCCAATGAAGCCCTGACATATGACTCCTACACGAGCACGGGAAGTGTTTTTCTCCAGGCTCCGCTTACTAAATGTAGCATAACGTCACGATGCTCGTACACGAAACATTAGCTTAAACCTTGCAACTGTATTTTATTGCCCCTCACTACTTCGTGTCTCATCACCATCTTTGTTGTTCATCTAGCGTTACGTTAGTAATTCAAATGTGACACGTATTGACCTTATCTGAGTAAGGTTATTATCGATTACCATTGTTTTTAAGGTAGTTGAAGCTAATGTAATCACACAGAATCATTAACCTAATGCCTTCTGTAGTTTTAGACCAGCTCCAGGCCCTTGGCTAATTTAAATCTACCCTATGCTCTTCTGTATACAAAAACAACAACATGAATACAGATGTTTTGATCCCCATGTCTTGTCTCGATCTTGTCACCAAACAGATCTGCAAACTTTGGACCAGCTGCAGGCCCCTCCCACTCTGCGGGCCCTCCTGTCCTGACCCGTGTGTTGCCCCCGGTTCCACCCCGTCCCGTCCATCAGGCTTACCGTCCATCCTACGGCTCCGTCACCTCCTCTTACAGCCCCTATGGGAGCTCCATGTATGGGGGCTATGGCGGTGGCTATAGCGGTGGCTACGGCGGTGGCTACGGCGGTGGCTTCGGCGGTGGCTTCGGCGGTGGCTTCGGCGCGGGAGGATACAGCCGCCTCCCCCACACGGAAGACGTGGCCCCCAGCCGCTTCGTGCAGCAGGCGGAGGAGAGCAGCCGCGGCGCCTTCCAGTCCATCGAGAGCATCGTCCAGGCCTTCGGCTCGGTCAGCATGATGCTGAACGCCACCTACTCGGCGGTGTATAACAGTTTCCGTGCCGTGCTGGACGTGGCCAACCACCTGACGAGGCTGCGTGCACACCTCACCAGTGTTTTTTCAACCTTAGCTCTGGTACGCATGTTGCACTACCTCTACCGGCGGTTACAGAGGCTGCTGGGGCGAAGGTCGGACGCCGACATAGACGACTTGTGGGCCGACAGTGCCGCTGATGCCCTGGTGACAAGTGCGTCCGGAGGGGACGGAGCAGGGATGGAGAGTCGGCCCGTGAAGTCCTGGCCAATCTTTCTGTTTTTCGCTGTAGTCTTGGGGGGACCCTACCTCATCTGGAAACTGCTGAGCTCGGGCCCTGGCTCTGAAGAGACCGGTGAGACTAACATTCAGGATTTTTGCAATTGCAGATGAGACGTTGAACTTCTACATTTTGACACACATTTAAGTTTTAACTGTAAGATCAGGAGCCGTCCCCCTTTTTCTCTGGACTTTAGATCAGCAGCTTTCACCTTTGTGCCATCATGGCCCAAAATAATGCCGGTGTTCTTTCCAGCTAATCACAATTACTGCTGGCAGGAAATGAAATTAGCCTGCTTGAGTAAATGTTTATGTATTTATTTTATTTACACAGAATTCCCGTTCCCTACTACCAAGGTAGAAACTCCTCTTCCTGGGGTCCCTTCAAAACCACTACATCACAATGTAAAAACAAATATGGGATGAAAATCCAAAAAGGGAACAAATAACGAAAGAAAAACATGGAATCTGCCACCAAAACACCGCCAAAATAAAATACAAATCAATAGCAATAACACTGCTAATGACAATAATAACAACGAATGGACAAAAGTCAAAAAGGAAGCAGGTAAAAATTTCGGCTCACCTGCCACCATGGCAGATTAATTTAGTGTCAGTTCCAAAAATATTCAGAGATTAAGGTTACATGACATATCCCATATTTCTACTGCCTGGTACCACTGACTCAGTGTTCTACATAGACTTCAGAGGTGGCAGACAAAGCATTTGAGTGGCCGGTAGAAAAGGTCACTGACCTACACGACGGTGGCACGTGAGGAAATAAAACTTAATTTCAGCTTCCGACTGCTGGCTTTACAAACTACCTGGAATGAACACTTAACAATTGACGATGTGTTTTGCGTTTATTTTCTTCAGCCACTAACTGGGCCAGCGGGGAGGACGACCACGTGGTGGCCCGAGTCGAGTATGACTTTTTAGGGGCGTCCGAGGAGGAGATTTCTGTGCGGGCCGGAGACATGCTCAACCTCGCCCCGAAAGGTGAGAGCTCTTTAAACCACTGCGGGTTTAACACATTTTATGAGTTGAAGTATTATTTTAGAGATATATGTCAATGTTGCAACATAGAAATACATTTATACGGTCATAGAGGATATTATCCTCATCAGGAAGAGGTGGGGTTACAGCTCTGGTTTTCCTGTCCATGTGGTATAATAAGTGTATGTTGTGTACTACAGAGACGTCAGTCAAAAAGCCTGTAAAAGTTTGTCTTTTGAGTGACAAAAAAATTGTAAATGATGGAAGAGAAAGGCCTGCTTTTGGGAAAATAGAGCTGAGATAGTTGGTGTTTACCCCGTGTGGATGACCTTTGACTCTCCCCTGTGTTCAGAGCACCAGCCGAAGGTGCGCGGCTGGCTGCTGGCCAGCACGGACGGCCAGACCACGGGACTCGTCCCCGCCAACTACGTCAAGGTCCTGGGCAAGAGGCGGGGCCTAAAGCACGCGGAGATGGAGAGGCTCGCTGAGGTGCAGCAAGGGAACACTGCCGCACACCCACAGTCCAGCCCCGCCCCGGGCCTCGGTTCGGCCTCCGCCTCGGTCTCCACGGAGGTGCTGCTGGAGTCGGCGTACAGAGGAGCGCCGGCCCCCTTCAGCCAGGGAACATCCAGCTCCAGCACGGTGCTAAACATCCCCGAGAAGGCTGACCTGTGATGTCTGTTCGTGCCTTTCTCTGTATGCAAGTTTGTGTGTGTTCACATATTCGGTTGGCTCAGTCAGTATTCGTTTGCAGCGTTTAACTCTGAAGCTTGACTCATAATCAGCTGACAGTAGATATTTAGGGAAACACCATTGACCTCCGTTGAGAATTTCTCAAAGTAGTTCCGAAGCTTATTATTGAAATCATCGAACACCATCTGGACCTTCTGATAAGGTTAAAGGTCAAAACGGGTTTCCATACACAGGTTTCCTGTTTTGCTGTTCTGTTTAGAACCAGCGTGTCTTAAATTAGGTTAACATGACATTTCTTGTGAAAAAAAGAAAGTCTAGTGTGTTCTCTAAATACAGTGCACTGCCGTTCTTTACATCATGTCTGATTTAAGATGCAATATCTTGATATTGTCTAATAACAATAATTAGCTCAATGTTTAAGTTAATGAGGCACACTGATACATCATCTGTATACTGACAGTGAGGACAGTTTCATGAGGTAATCATGTCTCTTGGCCTCACTTGTAGGCTGCTTGGTCCTTGTCTTTGTGAGGCAAATGTGATTCGATTCATTCAGAAGGAATGAATCAGCTGTTTCAGCTGTTTGTTAGTCACAGATTGTAATTTTGTAAATATAATTATTTTGAAAATAAATATTTTAAAAATCACGTTTTGCCTTTTTTGTGTAACACCATCAGAAGGAAAATGTGAATATAAAGCATGTTTAGTTGCGTTTTTAAACATCAGTAACATCTCAACGGTAAAATCTACCCTTAAGACCAAGAGAGCTTATTTAGTTTAGTTTTAGGTTTCATTGTATTGAAATAATAGTGTTTATTTCATTTGTTCTTAAGTCCGGGGACTGATGGCAGAAGCGCTGGTTTTAAGGCCGCTGTCTCTAAGGACGCTTAACCTGCTGCAGTGCGACAACAGGGACGACTCGGCTGAATACGACGGAAGTAACCAAAGTGTTGATTTCTCTAAAGTAGTTTAAGACTTGACCTCTGAGTTTGCATTTCGACAGTACAGCCTGTCGATAACCCCCCGTGCTACTGGGCTTAAACGTTTACAAACGACTGTGTGTACACTGTGTGTGTAAGTAGCCACTTTACGTTACTTTGCTACCTCATATGCTAACCTAGCTGAGTGAAGCTAGCGGTAATGCTGCCTTCGTGGACTGTTCCGAAAAACTGGTATGAGTGCAGCTGTGCTTACCGGTGAATACCTTAGATAAAGTACTTTAACAAAAGATTCACAGCTCATGGTCCACTTTGTCTAAAGTACCTCTCAGAATTGACCGCTACTTAATAATAATACATTTTATTTATAGAGCGCTTTTCCGAATACTGGATATTGGTCACACAAAACTAACTATGAAGACTTGGCAAGACTTGAGCAAAATTGTTTATGGAGGTATATATTCTACAATTATTTGGAAGAAAACTGCAGCACCCAACAACTGCAGTACAGTGCTGCTGACTGCGTCACTGGGGCGATTGTGGTCGTATTTGTCGTGACGCGTGGTATGGCGTTTCTGATTAGGATTTTACGAGGAATACCTGAAGGCAGCATATCCTGTCCCTCAAAGTTAGCTAGCTAGCATTAGCCTCAGTAGCCGGTAGGAGTGGACCGCAGCATCAGCACCATCCGTACACAATGACATAAACAGACACCAGCTCAGTTTACTGTACGAGACGACGGAGGAGAGAATATCTCCGACACCAGCTGAGTATGTCAACGATATTTTATCCTTCTTGCGGTTTGAATTAACCTACGTGTAGACAAGCTGCTGATTTAATTTGACCATGGACGCATCTGCAGCTGATGCAGCAGGAGGAGGACAGAGAGGCCTCCGCTAGCATCACTACTCTACTGACACGAACTTTCTCTATTGTACAACTTATTATGGATTTATATCGTATCAACAAATGTATGTAAAATGCTTCAATTCTCGACCTTTGGATGCTGCTGACATTAAATCAGAGTAAAGCTCTGCAGACCCTTCAGGAAGTTATGACCTATGATGTATTTAATGTTTAAAAAAAATCATAGTAATTTAGATTTTTCGTAAATGACGCATTACACAGTCCCCAAACAAAAGCATTAATGTTAGTTTAGAAATATGGCTGACCTTTAAAAAGAAGAAGTGGCTAAACCGAGAGTGATGATTATCCTCTACGAGCTACATTCTCAGTTGTGACTGGAGCGGGGCGGCATACGTTAATCAGTATTGATGCAATACCTCACATATGATAATGTAATCATATTGTGTGTGTGGCTGCTTATTGCTGTCATACCCCAATTCACTTGAGATAACAAAATCCTTCATAATTGGGATTAGGGCTGCCACTAACTATTATTTCCATTATTGATGTGGTAATTAATATCTCATTGCTAGGGCTTTCATAAAACTACGTAAATGAAACTCAAGCGATTATTTAAATAGTTGCCAATTAATTTCCTGTTAATGGACCAGTAATAAAATAGCTCTGATTTGGATATGATGACCGAGCGGCTGTAAGCGTTCATTCCTGACTCGCTGCCTGTTTGTTTCACGTCCCTCTGCCTCTCTGCCTCTCTGTCTCTCTGTCTCTCTGCCTCTCTGTCTCTCTGCCTCTCTGCCTCTCTG